GGGGGGGCCCGGCGGCCGCCGGCCCCGGCCCCAGCGCTGTCTCCTGTTGTTCAAGGGCTCCTCTCACCTGCCTCAGCAGCTGAAGTTCACGACCTCCGACTCGTGCGACCGCATCAAGGACGAGTTCCAGCTGCTGCAGGCCCAGTACCACAGGTACGTGCTGCCCCCGGGCCGTCCCGTAGCCCCGGTGCACGGGCATCGCTCCGTTGCTTCTGCTCCTTGCTTCGCTCCGGGGACCGCGTGGGAATTTGGGGAAGGGGAGCCCGGTCGTGTAGCTTGGGACACCCTGGGCTGGAGGAGCACCTCGGGCACGGCGTTGGTCGTGTCCACATGGGAGCCCAGCGAGGAGAACGCCCATTCCCTTCTCCAGCCAAGGTCTTTCCTCCAAGTGCTGCTCAGCCAGGACTGCACAGACACTTGCCAGGCCTCCTGCCTCTTGCTGGGAGTTTTCCTCGGTTTTTCTCGCTGGCTGCCATTCCTGGACTGCAAATACTGCAGGGAGCACTTAAATCCAAAAGCATCTACTTTTCTGTGTGTGTATGTGGAAATAGCGCTGCTGACCCAAAAGCTGGCTTGAGACAATCTGTTGCTTTGCGTGTGTGAGTGTGTCTGACATAAACACGAAGCCCTTTGCTTTGAATTGTCTGGGTGATGCCCTCTGCCACAGCCTGGCCCTGGTTTTGCTGTGTGCATTGGTGCCATGTGGCTGCAATGTCCCCCCAGCCCGGGCTCTGCCTGCGGGCAGGTTGCAAGTTTGTGGTGGTGTCATTTTGGCAGGAGCAGGCAGAAAAGCTGCTGGGAAGTGGCCATTTCCTGGTGTCTCTGTGCCTTGGCAGTGCCAGCAGGGGAGTAGGGGTTCCTGCTGGAAGGGAAGCTTTCCCCCCATGCCGCTCCACCCCCTCGGACTTAATCTGCTCAAGAAGGAGCAGGTTTTGTGTAGGTGAAGCTGTTTCTTGTTTGAAACATAAAACCACAGCACATGCTGGCTGCAGTTGCTCGGCTGGTGAGTTGGAGTCTCATAAAACACTGGGAGCAGCGGCACTTTCTCTGAAGGGTGTGAAGAATCTAGGAGAGAGGAAAAATCCTTGCTTCTGGAGGGATGTGCTGCACTTGGGCCTCCCCCCGCCCGCCCCCATCCAGAAGTGGGTCTGGCTTTGGTTTTGATGTTGTACTGGAACATCTCTTGAGTGCTGCAGACAGGTTCTGTGCCAGAATCTGTCCCCAGCTGCCAGCGATCTGTTGAGGAAAGGCAAGCCCCTCCCTGGGCAGCCAGCTCTGCTTCTCCCCAGCATTCTGCTTCCTGTGGAATGGATTTGCCTGAGGGAGGTCAGTGCTCTGCTGGTGGATTCCCTTGTGTCCTTTTCCTGATTGTGTGTTGGGGAGGGCTCCAGCTGAGAAAGTGGGAGCAGGCTCTGTGTGGTCACTGCCGTGCCAGCACAGCCTGTCTGGGCTCTGCTCTGGCCACCCCTTGAAGTCCAGATAGTGATGTCCAAGAATCCAGCCTGGCCGGGATGAGGCCATGCAGGAAGCAGCTGCTCTGTGGCGATCAACTCTCTCACCTCCTGTTTGTGGTTTTTCTTACTGTTTTCTGGCTTTTCAGCTTGAAGTTGGAATGTGACAAACTAGCCAGCGAGAAATCGGAGATGCAGCGTCACTACGTCATGGTAAGGACTGGCCCAGCAGCCCCGAGCAGAGTGTGTGGGTGGCAGCACCAGCAGGTGCCTGGGCTCTGCCTGGCAGGGAGCCCACGCCCCACACGGCTCCAGGGCTCTCAGCAGGGCTGGAATTGGCTCTTTGCTGAAAATGGGGCTGTTTTGTGTTGGCTGCATGCAGGGGTTGTTGAAATGCACGGTGAGGGGGGAGGTTTTTGATGGAGAAAATGGGGCCTGGTGGGGGATTGCTTGGAGGGTGCTTGGCCCAAAGGAAGTGACAGCTCTTACACATCTGAGAAGGTGGTGCAAGGTGTGCAGGTGTTTGGGGACTCTGGGAAGGTCGTGGCCAGTGAGAGACAAAGCAGTGCTCTGGGAAGTCATGAAAGTGGGAAACCCCACAAGCCAGGGGTGAGTTAGAAGCAGAAATCAGCTTCTGTGCCAGGGCTAAACCCTGTGCACCTTGTGGTGACCCCAGAGCCTTGCTGAGCCCTGGTGCTGAGTGCCGGCACGTGTGTCCCAGCACAGGCTGTGCAAGCCCCAGGGCAGTGCTTGGTAAAGGCATGAGAAATGGTGCCACGTGTGGGCAGCAGGGTTGGCTGTGGCTTTCCAAGAAAACAGCCATGTTCTGGTGAGCAGGGTGTGGGTTTGCCTGCCAGGTAATGCCTCTGGAGCCCTTGTAGCACAGAGGAGGGATGCCAGGCAGGGCTGTGGTCTCTTCCTTTCCTATCATGGAGTTAATGGGAGGCTGCAATACTGTCCATGAAAATGAGCTGCTTCCTGCTTGCCAGCTGCTGCACCTGCCCTGGAAAGAAGAGATAAGATGTAGAAATTAATAGAGCAGCTCTTCAGAGCAGAGTTAAGACTTAAAAAAATCAGAAATAAGGGAGCTAGCTGGCCCCTTCACTGCGCTCATGGCCAGGCTCTGAGGCTGTGGGGAGCAAGGTGTGTTGGGGCTGGGGACAAGGAGAAGAGGTCACAGCTTTCCTGGTGTATTAATGGTGAAGCCTGCCCCGTTCTCGCTGGTAAACAATTGCTTCCTGTGCAGTCTGCACGGAAACCCTCATCTCCAGCAGTGGCCAAGATACATTTTCCTTTTTTTTTTTTTTTTTTTCCTTTAATGCTGGCAGTCACCAGAATTGATTCAGGTTGCTGTCAGCAGCAGAGGGGAAGGGCTGCTGCTCGTGGCGCAGCGCTGGAGGCTCTGCAGGCGCAGCAGCTCCTGCCTTGTCTGCGTGGCTGAGCCGGAGCTGCTGCCGCTCCCTGTCACGGGGAGCCAAGAGGAGGGCTCCTGCGAATGTGCAAAGCTGCTACAGCTGCTCTGATTTTTGAATAAGTCACAATTGGCAGCTTGGGGGACGGGCTCCTGCTTCCTGCTCGGTCTTCAGAATGCAAAGAAGCCTCGAGAGCCCGCAGCAGGCTGAGATCATTCTGATACCAAGCCGGGCGCTTCGTCGCCTTGTGGCGTCGGTACCAGGATGCCAGTGATCTTCAGTTAAATGAGCACAGATGTGGATTGTTCTTTTCCCTTTGGAAGAATCAGGATTGCAGCCTGCAGGCTGCAGGAGGAGGTTTCTAAACTCTCAAAACATCAGCCTTATAACAGCTTCTTCCAGGGGTCAGGAATTAGCTGCTTCTGCCAATAGATTGTCTGTAGCTGCCTGTTGCTGCTGTGCAGGGGTTTTCTGGGTAGATTGTTTTTGTGTGTGGAGGGGGGAGGTTTCCACATAACTCCTTCCTAAGCAGCTGGAGCTGTGTGCAGCTGGATGTGTTACTTGCTAGATGAAGCCCAGTTGTGATCTCTCCCGTTTGCTGCTGAAGGAGGCATGTGGGCTTTAGGATACTGGCCAGGCAGAGCTCACAGAGCCAGGCTGCCTCTCTTCTGGCTGTGCTTAGGGAAGTCTGGAGCCCTGAGCCTTTTTCCAGGTTTGACACAGCATCACTCTCACCTCAGTGCAGACTGTGAGGGGAATCCTGTGGGGCAAGACTCCAGTCTGGAGCAGGGTGGGCAGGGAGCAGCTGGAGGGGGTCTCTGTGCTTTGCCTCCTGCTGCCTTTGTTTCCTGGGGCTTGTCTCTGCTCCCCTGCCTTTGTAGAAAACCCTGCCAGGAATGCAGTGGTGCTTCCCAGCACTCACCTGGCAGAGACTTGACTTACAATTTGTTTTGTTCTCTTCTCTCCTGCTCTGCAGTACTATGAGATGTCCTACGGGCTGAATATTGAAATGCACAAACAGGTAGGGAGAAAAGCATCTCCAACTGCTGCAGTTCCTGGGGAAGGTGGGATGTCTGCTCTGCGTTGCCCTCTGTCACTTCAGTTGCCTTTCAGGAACTAGAAATGCCATCAGCCTGTAAAATGTCAGAGCTGCCTTTGAAATGCAGGGCCCCCCCACCTCTCAGGATCACAGTGCTGGCCTGTGGGCTCTGTCCTGGGCTCTGGGCACCCTGTGGTTCTCCCCAGGGCCTGAACAGGCACCAGGAAGGGTCTGGAGCTGCAGCTTGGAGACTCTGTGGCAGCCTGGATAAGTTTGCTCATTACCCTCAGTGGTGGTTAAGTTGTTAATTATCTCCAGTGACTAATTACCTGTGGTGTTAACAACATGAGCCTCCTCTGAGCCTGTCTCTATCTGGCTTCAGCTCCAGTCACAAAGTCGTGGCTCAGTTTAAGCCTCTTAGCACAGTTCTGTTCCTCACAAAGGCACTTGGTGCTTCTGATCCCATTGCCCTTGTTGCTAAGCCCATGAGACTGGCTTCCCTGGGAAAACCTGGGTCTTGTGGAAGAATCTGAGCCACAAATCCCCACTGCTGTCCCACGAATGTCTCCCAGCCTGATCTGCTTCCCTGTGGTGCTGTTGGGGTCCCCTCAGCTGGTTTTGGTGTGTACCTGTACCCTTTGGCTCTGTATTTTGAGTCCTTTAGAAAGTGATTTGCAAAGGACTGTTAGCTTCAGTATTTGCCAGGAGAAAAGCATTTAATACCCCAGAAGTTGCCACTGCTGCTGTGAGGATAGTGAGGAGGCCCAGCCCCTCTGGTCTCCCCCAGTGGCCCCAGTCCAGCAGCTCAGCTGGGGAGGGGGAGCCTGGGGGGGCTGACAGCCATGAACATGTCTGTGTCCACATGGCAGATGTAACAGCACATCCCCACCTGGGTCTGTGGGAACTTTGCTCTCTGGTTGCTCCCAATTTGTTAAATGAGTGTTGGGGACCTGGAGAGGAAGAGGAATAATGAAACTTTGCTCTTTGCAGTCAGCAGCATCCTTTCATTTAACCGTGCAGGGAGGAGCCTCAGGGGGAAAGGGGATCCCCATGGCACCAGGATGCTGCCAGGAGGGTGGGTTTGCTCACAGCCATTCTGGGACTCAGCCCTGGCCAGGAGGAGGAGGAAGAGGAGGAGGGAAGGTGAGGCAGCTGATGCTGTGGGTGCTCAGTCCTGAGCTGCCTGACTTTTCCTCTCTGTTTCTCCCATCTTTTAGGCTGAAATTGTCAAGAGGCTAAATGGGATTTGTGCACAGGTTCTGCCCTACCTTTCACAAGAGGTGAGTCCCCCAGCCTGGGGGGTTTGTTTGCATGGAGGCTGCTGTCCCTGTGCAGCCAGTGAGGTGTCACAGCCCTGCAGCACAGGTAGCTCCCCACCCCTGGGCTGGCAAACCCTTGCCTGCTCTCAGCCCAGCCCTTCAAGGCAGTGTTGGCTCCTGGAGCACTGGTGGGTAATGTGCCCCTCTGTTGGTCCACCCTAAAACTTCTATCTTGCTCTGTATATTACTGTATTCTAAAACTCTAAATTTTCTACCCTCTAATATTGCACACTTCTAATCAAACTACACACCCATAATCCCAGTGTTATCAATCAATTTTGGAAGCTTTCTCCACAGCCTCAGGTCAAATGCAGTGATCTCTTGGGAGTCAGAGTCTGTCAGCACAGAAAGTCTAAAATTCTCAGTATCCAGAACTCCGATACCCTTCCATCCCTTTTGTGGCAGCTGGGACAAAGCTGCTCCTGCTCTCCTGCCTGTGGCTCCTGAGCCATCAGCAGGGGCAGCTTTGGGTGGTAATCAGGGGAGAAGGACACTTAAAAAAATACCTCCATATGGAGGATACCTCCTCTCATCCTCTTTGAGATCTGGTTCCTCTGCCTCATTAATTAATGCAGCTGATGGGCTCCTCCCACTCCCCTGAGAAATTAATTGGGGGAGGGGGTGCTTGGGAGTCACTGTCTGAGGCGAGGGGAGGATTAAGCACTTCTAGAGCTGCATTTTCTGTCTGCCCATGGAGGCTGAGCCCTGAGCAGCTCTCCTGGCCCTTTGGGGGTTGGAAGCTTTGTGCTTGGGGTCAGTGCTGGGCTTGGGGCACAGGTTCTGTTTTTGCCACCCACCTGTTCTTAGGACGGACAAAGTCGCTTGCTGATCAGATCAGGGTTGCCTAATAACTAAGCCCCAGCTAAATCTTTTGCATCTTAATGCAATCCTTAACCCTGTCCTGCTGCCAAAATGAAAAGAAAAATCCCCTTGCTGAAGTGCAGTGGACAGTGCTGGTGTTGCAGAGAACCTCGTGCTCTGCAAGGAGCAAGTGCAGTTCTCCTTTATTTTTATTAAATATATGATCCATCAATTTTTTTCAGCCTGTGTTTGGAACACCCAGCTGCTGCTGCAGTTGATATCCAGGATGTGTCCCAAGGAGCTTCCCAAGAGCTCCTGATTTTTAGGGCTTGTTTTGTTTGTTAGAGGGTCTGTGTAGATGAAGGCTGGCAGGATCAGACACTGCCCACCTTGGAGCCTTCTGGCCAAGGATCTCTGGGTGTGTAGAGAGCAGGACAAGGGTGTGGGAAAGAGGGGACCTGTTTGACCCTGTGGTGAGGAAGAGGATGAGACAAAGGTGCTTCCTTCCCTGCTCCTTGCTGTGCTAGGCCTGGTGGGAGGCCCTCGTCTCGGTGAAGTGTGTGCAGGTGTCTCCAGCTGTGGGGTAACCAGCCTGATGGTGTGGACTGGCTCCCTGTTCCGCTTCCCTGTGGCACTACAAGTGACCCCAAATTCCTCTGTTTTTTCCTTGCCAGCATCAGCAGCAAGTCTTGGGAGCCATTGAACGAGCTAAGCAGGTCACGGCGCCAGAACTGAACTCCATCATCCGTGTACGTGATGCTTGGGTTGGGAGGGGAGGGAATCCCTGCCTCTGGCCAGGACACTCAGCTGGGCTGTGTGGGGACACCAGGGGACCCTGCTCTGCTGCTGTGGCTGCAGTGGGACGAGGCTGGGCTGGCAGTGCTGGCACAGGGCTGGCTGCACCCAGGGATCCCTGCTCTGTCCCAGCAGGTGCCAGGAGGGGAGCTTTGCTTTTGAGCAGGACCCACAGTAGGCACCCAGCATGAAAACACCATCTGCTCTTGGTCAGAGTTGTGAGTGAGGGCTTTAACTGCAGCCTTGGGACACGCCAGAGCCTGAGGCCAGATGTCCTGTGGGGCAGGGGCTGTGTGTCCTGATGGGGACATGGTGCTGAGTCTTCTCTTGAGGTTATCACAGCAGCAGGACTCGAGAACCTCTTCTCCCACCCAACCCTGAGGTTTAAGCTTATTTAACCCCCTGCTTTAAGCTCGATTGCTGCCACACTCAAAATGACAATACCCCCGTTGTGTCTGTGTGTCTGTCCATCGTTCCCTACAGCAGCAGCTTCAAGCTCACCAGCTGTCTCAGCTCCAAGCCCTCGCTCTGCCCCTGACCCCGCTCCCCGTGGGGCTGCAGCCCCCGTCGCTCCCCGCTGTCAGCGCCGGCACCGGGCTCCTGTCGCTCTCGGCCCTGGGCTCGCAGGCTCACCTCTCCAAGGAGGACAAGAACGGCCACGATGGCGATGCCCACCAAGATGATGACGGCGAGAAATCGGATTAGAGCGACCGGGGGTGGGCCTGGGGAAGGGGGCTGGCTGGGGGAGGGAGGGAGGGAGGGAGGGGCGGGTTAGTGCAAAATGCAGTATCTCTCTCTGATTGCTGTGCAGCAGGGCCGTGGTGACCCGTGCTGGGTGGCAGCTTGCCAGGCCTGTCCCCAGGGCGGGTGGCAGGGCCTGGGGGTGTCCCCGGCGCCGTCCCACATAGCGTTACCCGTGTGGCCAGTCGTGCTCTCCCTGTGCCCAGCCTGCCTTCCCCGGCCCTCCTCCCCCTCACAGAGCCTGGCTTGGGCCACTCTGGGGCCACTTTGCCCCCTGGCTGTCCCAGCTCCTTGGTGCCATGTGGCCCCTCCCTCCACCTGCTGCTCCCCCCTCGGTATTTAAAGATTGCCCCTTGATCCTAACGGTTCTGCACAAACTCCCTGCTAGGATCCCTGGCCCAGAACAATCTCCTCCCTTCCCCAGGCGCTCTTGGTCTCGTGGCATCCCCCCCCACGCCCCTCCTGCACTAATACCAGGCCTAAAAACAGCCTTGCTGTTCTGCATGTACCTGTTCTCAAGCAGCTCTGGCTGCCAGGAGCTTCACCCCGGGCTGGAGGGGGAGCCTGTGCCACCTGCTCCCCCTCAGCACAGCATCGGGCTGTGGTGGCTGGGCACAGGGGGCAGGCAGACCAAGAGCCTTCCCCAGCCTCCCCCTCCCCGTGCCCCTGCCCTGTGTAGAGGATACAGCAGCTTTCTCTGTTCTTATCTCCGTGCGCTAGCGTGTCTTCTTAAAAAACAAAAATGGAAAAAAAAATAATGAATAATAATCTGGTGTTTGTATATAGTTCTTTAGAAAGATCTTGTTTTGCTTTTTGTGTTTAATCACTTGACCTATAATAAGAGGAACTGAAAATGCTGTATCAAGGACGTACAAGCTGTGCCTTTCAAATAAAGAAATAAGAAGGTTGGTTAAAACCGTGACTTGCTGCCGCTTTCTTGTTGCCTTTGGGATGACTTTAAAACACTTCCCCGTGTCTCCTGTCCCTTCAGCTGGGGAGAACCGAGTTTTCCTGGCTCACCTGTGCTGTGGGAGGTGTCTGGAGGTGCAATTCTCCCTTCAGGTGCTAGCATATCCCAGATCATTCCCTTCCTGTTGGATGCGCTGCTCTCCCTCCCTGTTGCAGGGTTAACATCCACACCTCTGCCTCTGCCTTCTCTTGTGTGATGGGGCCATCCCTGTGGCCTTTGTGGCTCTGGGACACCCCTGCAGAGGTGAGGGCTGTGCCACAGCTGCAATCTGCTGGAGCCAGGGCCAGGAGGATTCCCGAGCAAAGCCAGAACTAACGAGCTCAAGGTGAAAGTGGTGGGCTGCGAAAAGGGAGCAGGGGGCTCGCCAGAAGAAAAGCAAGGAGCCAAGTGCCCCCGAGGTCTATCAGCTCTGTGCTGCTTTGGTAACACATGTGGAGGTCCCTGGGGCTGCCACAGGTCTGCTCTTCGTGTGCATAATTCATTTTTCCTCTGGGCACGGAGGATAAGCTTCTTCTGTGGCTCTCAGGCCCCTCTGGAAAATCCGGCCTGCCGTGCCCTGGGGCTGAGATTGCTGTAATGGAATTGGCTCTCGATAATTAGAGCTGTCCTCTGGCTTCAGAGCCTGCTCCGCCCTGATAACATCTTCCCCTCGCTATCTCTTAGGCCAGTTGGAGTGGGAAAATTTCCTTCCTCTGGGGAGGAATCCTGCTGGGGGAGTCCTGGAGCACCCAGCACCGAGGTGTGGAGGGGCTGGAGGGTTCAGAGGCCGTGGGCAGCACCAGGGCTTGGCAGTGCTGCTGGTACCTGCCTGCTCAGCCCCATCCTGGCTGGGCACAGCTGGGGCACGGTGCCCAGGGCAGGCTGGCAGGAGCCAGGGGCTGTGCAGGAGCACAGCTGTGGTGGCCACTGAGCTCTGGCTGGTGGCCCAGGCTCTGCAGGGGGGTCTCAGCCCTGTTCCCTCCCAAAATGAGCACCTGCTGCTCCCTGGGGCAGATCCTGGGTGCCTGCCCTGAGCCCTGGGGGCTGCAGCACCAGGCAGACCCATCCAAGCCCTGGCACTGCCTGGGGATCCCCCTCCAGAGCTGCTGGAACTCTGCCCATCCCACCCTGGGGTCCTGCAGCTGCTCTGGGCTCTCTGCTGACACCCAGCAGCGTGGGAAATAGAAAATGTAAAAAACTTGACAGAAGTCAAAATACAAAAAGCCAAAAAACATTTATAGTGTATTGTAATTAGGAAACGGCTTCTGATTGTGATGGCGGGAATTGTAACACCTGAATTGTCTCACCCTTCAAATGAGACTGAACATAAAAGTTTTTAAAGCACCTCTGTCTGAGCAGAAAAGAACACAACCCAGCACAGCAGGTCCCTGGAGTGAAAGGGCAGCACAGCCCCAGCCTGGGCTGCTGCAAGGGCAGCTCTAAACCCATCCCTGCCCTGGCAGTGCCCAGAACCCACAGGGAGCTTCCCCAGGGCTTCCACTCCAGGCCAGCAGCTCAGACTCAGCCTGGGAATGTTACTCCTGGTGGATATGCAAGGGAGGAGGATTTAGGAGAAGCTGTTCAGGGCTGCTTTCAGGAACAGAGGTCGCTCTTGTTGGAGCTGATCAGCAGCTTTGGTTCACTGGGCAAGGGGGTTGCACAAACCACGGGGCACTGGGACTGCCCTGACCTGGGCTGTGGGGAGCTCCCTGCTCCCTCTGGGGGACCAGACCTCTGTTAAAGCACAAACAGAAAACTCCTGGGCTCTCCAAATCCCCCGCACCTCCCAGCTGAGCCTTGTGCTCCACTCCTGCCTCCCATGGTGCTCCATTCCCAAAGCATTTCCCTGCAGTTTGGGGGAACCCTGATTTCCCATCCTCATGAGAAGCAGGGTTGTTCCCTGTGCTTCCAGCCTTTCTCTGTGTGCCACTCTCCAAAGGGAGTCATTTCACAGGGAACCTGCCCAGATTTGGGCTCAAATCTTAACTGCAGAACAAACTGCAAATCTAACCCACACCAACAGCAAAGAAAAGGGTTAAAAATGCCTCTCTTGTGACTCTCCAGTAGCTGCAGACTTGAGGAAACAGCTTCACCCCTTCCAAACAGGCCTTGTAAGCTCTCAGAAGGCAGGAGCCCCTCTCAGGCCCTGCAGAACAGCTCAGCACTGGCAAGGACACAGCTGACAAGGGGCCCCCAGAGCTGCCCAGGGGGGATTTGAGGCTGGCTCCTGGCAGAGGAGCCCTTTCTCCTGGTGTTCCAGAGCTCGTGGTGCCACAGTGGGACTGGGTTGATGGGCTGAGAACCAGCTCTGCCGCCCCAGGAGCCTTGGGAAAGCTCAGCAGAGCCCTGGCTGTAAAAGGTGGGCAGAGAAGATGCAGAGACACCTCTCAAGAGGGGCTGTCGTGGGCACAGAGGGCAGAGGGCAGGGGCAGGACCCCCCCTGGCAGTGCCCCATGTCCTGACCACCAAGCAGCTCAGCATTAACCCGGGCTTGGCACGGATTCCTGCTCACAGCTGCCAGGGCCTGACAAAACTCTGCTGTCACCCATCTCCTCCCTTCACCTGCCTGGCACTGTGGGGTCCAACCCAGCTCCTTCCTCCTGCAGCTGGCAGTTTTCCACTGGGTTTTCCACTGGGTTTTCCACTGGGTTTTTCACTGTTTGGGTCCTTCCTGCAGGACAAAACCCCCAGCAGGAGTCACAGTCATCCTGTGGCTCCCACCCTCCTCATTTTCCAGCCCAGCTCTGCCTGAAGCAATAACAGGGGAATGGTGGAGGAGCAGGAATCCTGCTAATGCAGGAATGCCGAGCTCTTCCTGGCTGCAGCCAGCACCAGATAAAAGCTAAAGGAGGCATCAATAATTAAAAACCACTCAGAGCTGGTAAGTGCAAACAGGAGCCAACCCAGGGATCGAAGGCAGAGAGCAGAGTCTGTCAGCTGCTGGGCTGCTCTGAGGCTCCCACTCCTCTCTGCAGCCCCTGGAGGGGACACCTGGAGGGGACACCTGGAGGGGACACGTGTCCCCAAGGGCTCAGGGACACCTGGCTTTGTAGGGTGGGCACCAGCACTGGGGTTTGGGGATGAGGAGCTGCAGTTTGGTCCTGCAAGTGGAGCTCAGGGAGCTGGGGAGCCTTGGTTTCAGTGCAGCTTTGGCTGAGATCTCGCTGGTTTGCTGCCAGATCCTTTCCTCAGCTCCCCTTCCCATCTCATGCTCATTCCAGGCCTGACTCCAGCCAGGATGAGGTCCCTGTTGGTGCCAGCTGCCCTGGGAGATTCACATTGCCTGAGGGTGCCAGGAACCACTCTCTGCTGAGTTCATGCCTCCCCATTCAAGTAGGCAAGCTGAAAATGAGTTTGGTGAGCCACAGCCACCCTTGGTGTGTCTGCAAAGCGAGGTGGGCTCTGCCCTTGGGCACCCACAGCTGCCCTGTGCCAGGCTGGCATCCAGGGAGGAGCTGGAAGGCAAAATCCCTGGGGAAATTCCAGCAGCAGCCGCTCCTGCTGGGATCCACTTCCAGCTGCAGCTCCTGGGTGTCCCAAAGCCTGCTTGGTTTGATTTCTCTGCTGCTCTTCTGAGCATTTCCCTCTTGATCCCAGCATGGATCTCAAACACTCCCATCCCCTGGGGCTCCTCCGGGCCCTGCCACCGCCAGGCTGGAGCTGCGGCTGCTGCAGGGGTGGCTGAGCATCCCGCGGTGGTGACAGCCCGGGGGACAGCAGCAGGACCATCTCCTCTTGCTGCTGGGCGTGCCAAGGGTTAACTGCCGCTGCTTCCTCCCGTCCAAACACAAATTAATCTCTGGGTTACAGGCTGTGCTGCTCCAGGGCTCGTGTCAGTCACTGCTGGAGGCTGATCAAGACACGTGTGACACCCGTCACTCCGGGTTTACCTGTGTCACTCTCCTGAGACGGGAGCACAGAGATTGCCGAAGGAAAAGTGGCAATTTTCAGAAAGGAGTTTTGAAAAATGCTGCAAAACATCTCCCCGGTCTATCTTTCCCTTGAAACATGATCTGAAATGTTTCCAGCCTTTGAAAATACACTTTAAAAAAAACCCTCAACTCTCCCAGTAAGGTAACAGAGGAAAAAAAAACACCACCTTTAAAACTTTACATTTGGATTAAAATATGCAGATACACGATGCAAACACAGAAACCATCTCTGTGCCTGCACAGGAGGGAGGGTTTTGGAGGGTTTAAGCTGCTGTCCATCCCTGCCCGCATCAGTGGCTCTGCACAGAGAACACCTGTGGCCAGGGAAAGGTAAAGGGGAAATACTGGGGCTGGGATGGCTCCTTGCTGGGGACTGACAGGGTCTGGGGGAGAGCCCCCAGGCCTGGCTGGGGACGAGAGGCAGGGAGGGATGGATGGATGGATGGATGGATGGATGGATGGATGGATGGATGGATGGATGGATGGATGGAGGAAAGAAGAGGGAGAGCCTCCAGCGCCCAGCACCTCGTCCCTGCCCCTGCTGCCAGCATGCGGCACGTAAATAACACAATGAATAAAATATCAGGATGAAATGCGAGGCATTAAATATTTAACCTCGCGCCTGCCTGCGCAGCGCCCAGGTACAGCTGGCTCCTGCAATATTTAAAGGTGGCTCCTCACTCGCTTTGCCCGCCCCCGAGCGCGGGGACTGCACGGCGGCGGCGGGGGGGCGGCAAGGGCCGCTCGGTGGGCTCCGGGCCGGGGCAGCCCCGCGGAGCCCGAGCCCGGTGGCCCCGGGCCCGCCGCCTCAGCCGCCCCACGTTACTTTGAGTGGCAGCTGGCGGCAGCCGCAAGGCCTCGTGGGCCGCGCAGTCTGCCTGCCCGTGCTGCCCGCGGCGGGAGCCCCGCCTGTTGGCGGCGCCGGG